CACTACACCACTACCACCTCACCTACTCCACTAAACCTAACCCACTACACCACTACCACCTCACCTACTCCACTAAACCTAACCCACTACACCACTACCACCTCACCTACTCCACTAAACCTAACCCACTACACCACTACCACCTCACCTACTCCACTAAACCTAACCCACTACACCACTACCACCTCACCTACTCCACTAAACCTAACCCACTACACCACTACCACCTCACCTACTCCACTAAACCTAACCCACTACACCACTACCACCTCACCTACTCCACTAAACCTAACCCACTACACCACTACCACCTCACCTACTCCACTAAACCTAACCCACTACACCACTACCACCTCACCTACTCCACTAAACCTAACCCACTACACCACTACCACCTCACCTACTCCACTAAACCTAACCCACTACACCACTACCACCTCACCTACTCCACTAAACCTAACCCACTACACCACTACCACCTCACCTACTCCACTAAACCTAACCCACTACACCACTACCACCTCACCTACTCCACTAAACCTAACCCACTACACCACTACCACCTCACCTACTCCACTAAACCTAACCCACTACACCACTACCACCTCACCTACTCCACTAAACCTAACCCACTACACCACTACCACCTCACCTACTCCACTAAACCTAACCCACTACACCACTACCACCTCACCTACTCCACTAAACCTAACCCACTACACCACTACCACCTCACCTACTCCACTAAACCTAACCCACTACACCACTACCACCTCACCTACTCCACTAAACCTAACCCACTACACCACTACCACCTCACCTACTCCACTAAACCTAACCCACTACACCACTACCACCTCACCTACTCCACTAAACCTAACCCACTACACCACTACCACCTCACCTACTCCACTAAACCTAACCCACTACACCACTACCACCTCACCTACTCCACTAAACCTAACCCACTACACCACTACCACCTCACCTACTCCACTAAACCTAACCCACTACACCACTACCACCTCACCTACTCCACTAAACCTAACCCACTACACCACTACCACCTCACCTACTCCACTAAACCTAACCCACTACACCACTACCACCTCACCTACTCCACTAAACCTAACCCACTACACCACTACCACCTCACCTACTCCACTAAACCTAACCCACTACACCACTACCACCTCACCTACTCCACTAAACCTAACCCACTACACCACTACCACCTCACCTACTCCACTAAACCTAACCCACTACACCACTACCACCTCACCTACTCCACTAAACCTAACCCACTACACCACTACCACCTCACCTACTCCACTAAACCTAACCCACTACACCACTACCACCTCACCTACTCCACTAAACCTAACCCACTACACCACTACCACCTCACCTACTCCACTAAACCTAACCCACTACACCACTACCACCTCACCTACTCCACTAAACCTAACCCACTACACCACTACCACCTCACCTACTCCACTAAACCTAACCCACTACACCACTACCACCTCACCTACTCCACTAAACCTAACCCACTACACCACTACCACCTCACCTACTCCACTAAACCTAACCCACTACACCACTACCACCTCACCTACTCCACTAAACCTAACCCACTACACCACTACCACCTCACCTACTCCACTAAACCTAACCCACTACACCACTACCACCTCACCTACTCCACTAAACCTAACCCACTACACCACTACCACCTCACCTACTCCACTAAACCTAACCCACTACACCACTACCACCTCACCTACTCCACTAAACCTAACCCACTACACCACTACCACCTCACCTACTCCACTAAACCTAACCCACTACACCACTACCACCTCACCTACTCCACTAAACCTAACCCACTACACCACTACCACCTCACCTACTCCACTAAACCTAACCCACTACACCACTACCACCTCACCTACTCCACTAAACCTAACCCACTACACCACTACCACCTCACCTACTCCACTAAACCTAACCCACTACACCACTACCACCTCACCTACTCCACTAAACCTAACCCACTACACCACTACCACCTCACCTACTCCACTAAACCTAACCCACTACACCACTACCACCTCACCTACTCCACTAAACCTAACCCACTACACCACTACCACCTCACCTACTCCACTAAACCTAACCCACTACACCACTACCACCTCACCTACTCCACTAAACCTAACCCACTACACCACTACCACCTCACCTACTCCACTAAACCTAACCCACTACACCACTACCACCTCACCTACTCCACTAAACCTAACCCACTACACCACTACCACCTCACCTACTCCACTAAACCTAACCCACTACACCACTACCACCTCACCTACTCCACTAAACCTAACCCACTACACCACTACCACCTCACCTACTCCACTAAACCTAACCCACTACACCACTACCACCTCACCTACTCCACTAAACCTAACCCACTACACCACTACCACCTCACCTACTCCACTAAACCTAACCCACTACACCACTACCACCTCACCTACTCCACTAAACCTAACCCACTACACCACTACCACCTCACCTACTCCACTAAACCTAACCCACTACACCACTACCACCTCACCTACTCCACTAAACCTAACCCACTACACCACTACCACCTCACCTACTCCACTAAACCTAACCCACTACACCACTACCACCTCACCTACTCCACTAAACCTAACCCACTACACCACTACCACCTCACCTACTCCACTAAACCTAACCCACTACACCACTACCACCTCACCTACTCCACTAAACCTAACCCACTACACCACTACCACCTCACCTACTCCACTAAACCTAACCCACTACACCACTACCACCTCACCTACTCCACTAAACCTAACCCACTACACCACTACCACCTCACCTACTCCACTAAACCTAACCCACTACACCACTACCACCTCACCTACTCCACTAAACCTAACCCACTACACCACTACCACCTCACCTACTCCACTAAACCTAACCCACTACACCACTACCACCTCACCTACTCCACTAAACCTAACCCACTACACCACTACCACCTCACCTACTCCACTAAACCTAACCCACTACACCACTACCACCTCACCTACTCCACTAAACCTAACCCACTACACCACTACCACCTCACCTACTCCACTAAACCTAACCCACTACACCACTACCACCTCACCTACTCCACTAAACCTAACCCACTACACCACTACCACCTCACCTACTCCACTAAACCTAACCCACTACACCACTACCACCTCACCTACTCCACTAAACCTAACCCACTACACCACTACCACCTCCACTTCACCTACTCCTTACCTACTACACACTCACCCTCTTCTATATATAGGAATCATCATCTTGTAATCTATCTATCAAATATCAATCAATAATACATCATTTTTTTACATATAATAAGTCCAAGTCATGATTGCATCAAAACTTTAACAGGTGAAATTTAGATTACACTCTGCTCTAGTTGATGGGAAATTCAGTAGTACCCTAAGGTCATGTTTGTTTGGGTAGACATGAGTTTAGAATTGGACTAATAGTCCAATAAAATTATTAATTCGATATTTAGTTAAACAGTTGAAGTACGAACTAATAATCCATCCGAATATGATATCCCACATATGATAGACTATTCAATTCCACATAGGGGAGTGAGATATAAATTGGAGAACTAAGCCAAAGTCTAGATTATTAGTCCCTCCTTATAATCCTAACTCAATCCAAACATAGGATATGATACACAATCCAAAGGGATTCGTAATCCTAAGACTATTAGTAATGAAATGTTAATCCAACTTAATCTAATCTACCCAAACAAACATGACCTAAATTCAAACTAAATATTGTACAAAAGTTTAGGTATACTTTTATTGACAATGCACAATATTTATTAATTTTCAAAAATATGATTATTCTAACTAGGAATGGCAACGGGGCGGGGTGGGGCCGGGGACCACACTCCCCGTCCTTGATCCCGATGGTGAAAATTTCCCCGTTCCCAGCCCCGATCCCTAACGGGGACCCTATCACCGTCCCCATCCCTGTCCCCAACGGGGATCGGGTTTCCCCGACCCCGAAAATTTCCCGATCCAAATCTGTTCAACATCATCAATAACAACCCTGGTCTAAATCTATTAACAACATCATCAACAACAACTTTGAACATCAACATTATCAACAAAATCATACACGCAAAGAGGGACACACACATACATATATACATTCACAGAGAGAGACACATATACATACATGTATACACATACACACAGAGACACACACACATACACATGTATACATAAACACACAGAAAGGACGATGGAGGAGCTCGGCGGCGATGACGGAGGAGATCAACACAGATCTGAGATCTGTGTATCTGTGAGATCAACACAGATCTGAGAAAGAGAGAGTGGTGACTGCGATTGCGATGCTGGCTGCGATCTGTGACGGTGGCTGCAACGAATGATCAATGACGAAGGACGACGGCGGCTGAGACGAACGGCGAAGGACGACAACAAATCTGGCATCGTAGACAGTGACGGTGGCACTAAGGAGAAGGAGAGGTGCGAGAGTGAGAGAGAGTAGAGAGAAGCGAATGAGAGGCGCAAGAGTCTCGGATCTGTGTTGAGAGAGAGTAAAGGGAAAAGAGAGAGAGAGAGAGACGGTCATAGATTTGTGAGGGATATATATATTAAGTGTACTTCGGGGGGGTAACGGGGACGGGGCCAGGGACGGACTAGGGCGGGGCTCGAAAATATATCACTGTCCCCGGCCCAAAAGTCAACGGGGATTTATTTTCGAATACCATCCCCTATCTGTCAGGGGTATTTTTTGGGAAAAAATCACTCTAATCGGGGTCGGGGGGTCGGGTCCCCGTCGGGCCGGGTTTAATTTTCCATCCCTATTGACAATTGAGATTTTAAAAAAAAAAAAAGCATGATCCACCATGTTTCTTAAGTGCTAAAGAAATATAGATGAACAATAAGGAAAATGTTTAAGATCTGCAAAAAACACTCACAATTGTACTGATAATGATGTGGTATCATATGTGTCACTAAAACGACGAAAAACGAGAGGAAGAGAAAAAGGAAGGAAGAGGGGAGAAGAAGGGAGAAGAATAGGGGAGAAGAAGGATGGGGGAGAAGAAGGTCACCCACCACCATCGCCGCCTGCCTGCTCCTCGCTGTCTCTTTCTCCTTCAACATTGAGGCTTCGATCCGGTCCCCCTCCGTCCTCTCTCTCTGCAAAAAAACCCAAAAAGACTCAACAACCCACTCATCTCTCTCCTCACTCTTCTTCTCTAATCGTTCATTCACTCCATCTTTGCCTGGTATCATAATCCAACTTCACAAAAATAAATAAATGAGAAGAAGAAGAAGAAGATTCACAACTTCAACATCAATTATACAAAGCTTGAAGATGTATTTGGAGTTCTGACCAAAGTTTAGATTATCAACCTGTGAAAGAAAAAAAATTAGAACAAGTTAAAAATTATACACCCACATTCATCAACATTTATTAATTTACATTTATTTTCTAGTCTGACGTTTAAATTTTAAAATACAAAATCAATAGAAAAAACCTCAAAATCACTCGAAAAAAAATTGGTAGTTTGAATTTTTCAACAAGAAATTGTAATAGAACAACGAGGGGATTCTTTGAAAGAAGGGTGGAGAAGAGAGAATCGGATGTGTTTGGTGGCCAACTTGTTTGCATGGTGGACTCGATGGTCACAATCATCACACAGGGCGGCTTCATTGGCAGAGCAAAACACAGTCACCTCTTCTCTCTCACAAACATCGCACTTTATCTTCATTCTCTGTGTGTGTGTGTGTATGTGTGTGTGTGTGTGTTTGTGAGCCAGCTCAATGCCCTCTCCCCATGCCCAACAAGAGATAGTGCAGCTTTTTTTAGCCCCTGTGTATCTCTTTCTTGTTTTTTTAGACCCAGCTCAAAGAGAGAAATAGGGCAGACAGAGAACAAAGAAAAAGAAAAAAAAAAAAAACCTCCAAAACGATGTCGTTTTAGAGGGCGGCAGGGAGACGTCGCAGGGGAGTACGACCGAGGATCTAGACTCCTCAATGACATAGAACCCAACTCCCTCGCCATATCAATGTGGATGAAAATGTAGGTTTGTAACATTGCTGAACAAAAAATTATGAGTAATGCTAGAGACCCCAAATATTCTACCAAAAGTTTTACCAAATGTCTCACATGGGTGTCGGGTGTGAGCCCCACACCCATGTGAGACATTTGGTAAAACTTTTGGTAGAATATTTGGGGTCTCTAGCATTACTCATAATTTTTTGTTCAGCAATGTTACAAACCTACACTTTCATCCACATTGATATGGCGAGGGAGTTGGGTTCTATGTCATTGAGGAGTCCGGATCCTTGGTCGCACTCCCCTGCGGCGTCTCCCTGCTGTCCTCCATAACGACGTCGTTTTGGAGGTTTTTTTTTTTTTTCTTCTCTTTCTTTGTTCTCTCTCTGCCTTATTTCTCTCTTTGAGCTGGGTCTAAAAAAACAAGAAAGAGATACACAGGGGCTAAAAAAAGCTGCACTATCTCTAGTTGGGCATGGGGAGAGGGCATTGAGCTGGCTCACAAACACACACACACACACACACACACACACACACACAGAATGAAGATCAAGTGTGATGTTTGTGAGAGAGAAGAGGTGACTGTGTTTTGCTCTGCCAATGAAGCCGCCCTGTGCGACAGTTGTGACCGTTGAGTCCACCATGCAAACAAGCTGGCCACCAAACACATCCGATTCTCTCTCCTCCACCCTTCTTTCAAAGAATCCCCTCGTTGTTCTATCACAATTTCTTGTTGAAAAATTCAAACTACTAATTTTTTTCAAGTGATTTTGGGGTTTTTTCTATTGATTTTGTATTTTAAAATTTAAACGTCAGACTAGAAAATAAATGTAAATTAATAAATGTTGATGAATGTGGGTGCATAATTTTTAACTTGTTCTAATTTTTTTTCTTTCATAAGTTGATAATCTAAACTTTGGTCAAAACTCCAAATACATCTTCAAGCTTTGTATAATTGATGTTGAAGTTGTGAATCTTCTTCTTCTTCTTCTTCTTATTTATTTATTTATTTATTTATTTTTGTGAAGTTGGATTATGATACCAGGCAAAGATGGAGTGAATGAACGATTAGAGAAGAAAAGTCAGGAGAGAGATGAGTGGGTTGTTGAGTCTTTTTGGGTCTTTTTTGCAGAGAGAGAGGACGGAGGGGGGCCGGATCGGAGCCTCAATGTTGAAGGAGAAAGAGACAGAGAGGAGCAGGTGGGCGGCGATTGCGGTGGGTGACCTTCTTCTCCCCTCTTCTTCTCCCTTCTTCTTCCCTCTTCCTTCCTTTTTCTCTTCCTCTGGTTTTTCGTCTGGTTTCTACTCTGTTTTTTTTTTTAAATTGAAATTTCCCCCAAAACGACGTCGTTTTGGGGGTGCTGTAGGGATGGCGGCAGGATTGTGTGGCCGAGGATCCGGACTTGTCATTAAGTGTATAGCAAATTAATAATGACACATATGATAACACATCATTATGAGTACAATTGTGAGTGTTTTTTGCGGATCTTAAACATTTTCCTTATTGTTTATCTATATTTCTTTAGCACTTATAAGAAACATGGTGGATCATGCTTTTTTTTTTTTTTTTTAAATCTCAATTGTCAATAGGGATGGAAATTTAAACCCGGCTCGACGGGGACCCGACCCCCTTACCTCGATTAAAGTGGTTTTTTCCTAAAAAATACCCCCGACAGATCGGGGATGGTATTCAAAAATAAATCCCTTTTGACTTTCGGGCCATGGACGGTGATATATTTTCGAGCCCCGCCCCGGCCCGTCCGTGGCCCCGTCCTTGTTACCCCCCCGAAGTATATATATATCCCTCAAAAATCTATGACCCGTTTCTCACTCTCTCTCTCACACTCTCACTCTCTCTCTTCCCTTTACTCTCTCTCAACACAGATCTGAGACTCTCGCGCCTCTCATTCACTTCTCTCTACTCTCTCTCACTCTCGTACCTCTCCTTCTCCTTAGTGCCACCGTCACTATCTACGATGCCGGAGTTGCCGTCGTCCTCTGCCATTCGTCTCAGTCGCCGTCGTCCTCCGTCATTGATCGTTCGTCGCAGCCACCGTCACAGATCGCAGCCAGCGTCGCAATCGCAGTCACCACTCTCTCTTTCTCAGATCTGTGTTGATCTCCTTCGTCATCGCCGCCGAGCTCCTCTGTCGTCCTCTCTGTGTGTTTATGTATGCATGTGTATGTGTGTGTGTCTCTGTGTGTATGCATACATGTATGTATATGTGTCTTTCTGTGTGAATGTATATATGTATGTTGATGTTCAAAGTTGTTCAAAGTTAGAATGTATACATGTGTGAATGTATATGTTTCTCTCTGTGTGAATGTATGTTGTATGTTGATAATGTTGATGTTCAAAGTTGTTGTTGATGATGTTGTTGAACAGATTTGGACCAGGGTTGTTGTGGATGATGTTGTTGAACAGATTTGGGCCGGGGAATTTTCGGGGTCGGGGAAACCTGATCCCCGTTGGGGACAGGGATGGAGACGGGGACAGGGAAATTTTCACCATCAGGGATCGGGGACGGCGAGTGTGGTCCCCGGCCCCGTCCTGCCCCACCCCATTTCCTACAGATGACCTTCGCCCAACTACTAAAAAACTTATAACTACATGGTTGTTTGTCTTTGTAGCAGATCATACCCTGTGTGCATCATCTAAAAATGCATTTCTATCTACAAATACATAACAAATCCTCAATTGATATATGGGTGTATGTAAGAAATTTAATTTTATTATATTTAAATATTTTATTGTAATTTTTAAATTAAAAATAAATTTTGAAAAATTATATTAAAATTATTTTATGCCATTATAAAATGTAATTTTTTTTTTAATATCAACTTATTCAATGATCCCTTTCTAAAATGTGTATTTTTTGAACATAATAAAAAAAATCTATGGAAAAAACTTAAGCATTTTGTTCATTAATATTAAATTTTCAATTAATCTTATTTATTATTAAAAAAAATTACCAAATAATTTTTTATATTTATATACTCCTATACAATTTTGTTTCAATTGTTCAGGTTATTTGGTGTCTCTGTCAAGTCCACTCAAATTCATTAGAATTTTTTCATTTTACATAGATTCTCACCGAATTAAAAATTATGTCGCCCAATCTTTAAAAAATTCCAGGCTGAACTCGCTCGAGTTGAACTCACTTGAGTTTACAACCTTAGCAAAGGGGTTGAAAATTACATGATTGAAGTTGTGACAAATTAAAAATTAATACAAAAATAGTGAAACTTAAATTGTAGATTTCAATATTTTTTTATTTTCATAATTTACATAAAAAAATCTAACTATTTATATTATTTTATATAAAAATATTTTGTTAATTTTTTCACATCCCTTGCATAGCATGGGTTTTTCACTAGTTTATAATAAACTTAATTATTGAAAAATAAGAAACTAATAAAATAAGAAATGAAAATCAAAACTAATAAAATTAGAAATTAAATCATATCAACTAAGGAAACTAAATAATTAAATAATTCTATAATATTTTATTCTAAATTAAAATATTCCTAACCAAATTCATTTTTAAAGTATTAAAATAAAAATATTTATTTTTTAAAATTCGGTCTGCATCATTCTACTCTACTTAAGAAAATTCATCCTCTCGTTTCCATTGTTTGAAATAATTTGAGAAGTTTGCACTTGTCTGCATCAACCTTGTATTTAAGGTTAATTTTCTCAAACCTAAACTTCAAAGAAGAAAATATTAATTTTTAAAATATTGAAATAAAAGTATTTATTTTTTAAAGTTCAATCTACGCCAGCTTTACACAAATATGATTTTGTATAAATTCCTAATATAATCTGTGGGGCTATGTTTTCTGAGTACCAGCACGTGGCCAAGGTGATGCCGACATGTCAACCGAGGTGCCACGTGTCCTGTTCACGACGTCGAGGTGATCTCGGCTAGGCCGAGGTTATCTCTGAAGATATCAGAATCCGAGATAAGCGGATAAAGGACAAGAGTCCTAGAATGGGAGAAGACTTCAGTTTGGATACAGATAAGACTTTTAGAGAGTTTATCCCAATCTTACTGGGAGTCCAAGATTAGCAGTAATCCTTAGTCCATTGAATCTAGGTTTCTATTGGGATTAGGTAAGTGATGGCTATAAAAGAGAGGCACCCCCATCGGTCTAAGGTACGCAATTTGTATTCTGAATAGTGAGTTAAGCACTTGATTTACCTTTGAGAGATAACTGACTTGATCGTCGGAGTGCCCCCGGGTGGACGAACCACCGCCGGAATCTTCTCTTTCTGTTGCAGGTCAATCAGGCGCCATCTATTCTGCCAGTGCTCTCCAGCTGAATACTAAGTTGGCAGTGTGGTCGGAAATTG